GTGAACACGCTATTGGGCAGAGCTGGGTGTTACTGAAACCCAACGAGATTGGAAAATGTGTGAGATGAAGGGATGGGGCTATGCTGGAGGGGCTCTTTCTGAGGCCCCATCCCCTTCCAGCAGGATTTCTGAAATCCCCACCACTTCCTCCTTCCGGGGGATTTGATCCCCCATGGCCACCGATAACAACATCATCGTGCTGGATGATGATGACGAAGATGAAGCAGCTGCTCAGCCAGGGCCCTCCCACCCACCCCCAAATCCGGCCTCACCCCGGGCAGAAGCCCCTGGCTCCTCCGAGCCCTGTGGGGCCGGAGGAAGCAGTAGTTCGGGCGGCAAGAAATGCTACAAGTTGGAGAATGAGAAGCTGTTTGAAGAGGTGAGCTTTAGGGGAGAAGATTCTTGTACTCCAGGGAGGGGGATGGCTGACTGGTTCTCCTGTCCTTTCTACCCCACTAATCCCACCTCACCTTCTTTCTCTCAACCCTTTCCCTTGTCTCTTTTCCTCTCCTTTCTTCCTCTGAACTCTCCAGTTCCTTAAACTGTGTAAGATGCAGACGGCAGAGCACCCTGAGGTGGTCCCATTCCTTTATAACCGGCAGCAGCGTGCCCACTCTCTGTTTCTGGCCTCGGCGGAGTTCTGCAACATCCTTTCTCGGGTCCTATCTCGGGCCCGGAGCCGGCCAGCTAAGCTCTATGTCTACATCAACGAGCTCTGCACTGTTCTCAAGGCCCACTCAGCCAAGAAGAAGCTGAACCTGTCCCCTGCTGCCACCACCTCCAGTGAGCCCTCTGGAAATAACCCTTCCACAGACCCCTCCTTAGACCCCACAAATGCTGAGACCACTGCCTCTGAGACCCCAAGGACCCGTGGTTCCCGGCGGCAGATCCAGCGCTTGGAGCAGCTACTGGCTCTCTATGTGGCAGAGATACGGAGACTGCAGGAGAAGGAGCTGGATCTCTCAGAACTGGATGACCCCGACTCCACATACCTACAGGAGGCACGGTTGAAGCGTAAGCTGATCCGCCTCTTTGGGCGTCTGTGTGAGCTGAAAGACTGCTCTTCACTGACCGGCCGTGTCATAGAGCAGCGCATCCCCTACCGCGGAACCCGCTACCCAGAGGTTAACAGGCGCATTGAGCGGCTTATCAACAAGCCAGGGCCTGATACCTTCCCTGATTATGGAGACGTGCTGCGGGCCGTAGAGAAGGCAGCTGCTCGACACAGCCTCGGCCTTCCCCGGCAGCAGCTCCAGCTCATGGCTCAAGATGCCTTCCGAGATGTGGGCATCAGACTACAGGAACGACGCCACCTCGATCTCATCTACAACTTTGGCTGCCACCTCACAGATGACTATAGGCCAGGTAGGGAGTTTGCAGGATGCCCATGAGCAGCCCATTGGGTGTGTGGCAGAAGGGCGACTCTCTAGTCTCTCATTCTAGAGTTTGGGCTGAATGCTCTGACTTTATATCTTCCCACATAGGCATTGACCCTGCACTATCGGATCCTACCCTGGCCCGGCGCCTTCGGGAAAACCGGAGCTTGGCCATGAGTCGGCTGGATGAGGTCATCTCCAAATATGCAATGATGCAAGATAAGAGTGAGGAGGGTGAGAGGCAGAAGAGAAGAGCCCGGCTCTCCCAAGGCACCTCTTCCCACTCTGCAGACCCCCCACGAGCCTCCTCAGATTCTGGTGAGGTATGAGAGGGATACCCCCTGAAGAAAGGCCATGTCCCTCCCCTGCACTGGCCACCAGGGAGTGCGGGGTGACTGGTGGGGGAATGTGCAGAAAGAAAGCAAGGGCTGGACTCTCTGGGACAAGGAATTTCTTAGAGAAAGTCCTTTGTCCTCCAGGGCCCTAGTGGAATAGCATCCCAGGAGTGCCCTACCACCTCCAGGGCTGAGACAGATGAGGAAGAAGATGATGAAAGTGATGAGGAGGAGGAAGAGGAGGAGGAGGAAGAAGAGGAGGAGGAGGCCACAGATTCTGAAGAGGAGGAGGATCTAGAACAGATGCAGGAAGGTCAGGGGGACAATGAAGCGGAGGAAGAAGAAGCAGGTATTTCAGGGAATCAGTCCCCCCATGTGTCAGTTCCCTCTACTCTGTTGAGCATAAGTCACGTGTTTGAGACCCTTTTCTTCCTTTTCTCTCCTTGCAGTGTCCTCTCAGGAGTATTCTTTTCCCTAGTTCTCATGCCATCCTTCCTTCCTCTTTTCTTCTTCTCTCCCAGGCAAGGATGGAAACAAGAGCCCCATGTCCGCACCACAGTTCTCCCCTGAACTGGACCTGGAATCTGGCAAAGGGATGAACAGGTCTTCAGTGGAGCAGCAAAACAAAAGACTCACAGTGTCCCCATCTTCACTGTCAGAGGAGCCCCTCGCCCTTTCCAGCACAGATGCTGAAAGCAATGAAGAACAGCTCGAGGAGTTGCCCCTGGAGGAAGAGAGTCCTATGTCTCAGCTCTTTGAGCTAGAGATTGAAGCCTTGCCTGTGGAGACCACCCCTTCCCCTGAGGAGAGGGACATTTCCTCTTCCAAGAAGCAAACAGAGGACTCCCTCATCACTGTTTTGGAGAATGGAGCAGCCATGGTCACCTCCACTTCCTTCAATGGAGGTGTGTCTCCTCACACCTGGGGAGATTCCTGCCCCCCCTGCAAGAAATTTCGGAAGGAGGAGAAGGACCCAGGGTCAGGGCCATTAGGAGACAGGTAACAACGAGGAGGAGGAAGAGGGAAGCCAAGGCAGGATTGCAGGGGGGCTTTCTGAGAGGAGTATTGGGAAACTGAGTTTGCTGGGAGTGAGACTGGACACTCTCCATCTAACCTCACACCATCCCCTCCACACATTTATGTTTCTGTCTTCAGCTATGTAGAAAGGCAAAGGGCAGTGCATGAGAAGAATGGGAAGAGTATATGTACCCTCCCCAGCCCACCCTCGCCCTTGGCATCCATGACCCCAGTTGCTGATTCCTCAACAAGGGTGGATTCTCCCAGCCATGGCCTGGTGACCAGCTCCCTCTGCAGCCCTTCTCCAGTCAGGCCTTCCCAAACCCCCCAATCCCAAGCCCCCCGGCCTGGTACTTACAAGGTAAGAAAGGGAGGCTGTTTTACTTCTAACAGTTCATTCTCTTTTGTTATCTTTTCAGTTTCAGCTTCTCTGAATGTTGTACCCACCACATCCTCTCTTCCTTGTTTTTCTACCCCAATTTTTTGTCTCTGTTAAGTCTCTTCCTCTGCTTCCCCTCCCCCCGTACTCCAGATCTCTCTGACACTTGCACCTTTGTCTCTCACTCCCCTGCAGATGAGTGTGGCCACACAGTGCGATCCAGAGGAGATCATCGTGCTCTCAGATTCTGATTAACTGGTTCCCCCAACGTTCACCCTCCCTACCTCCAAAGTGTTTGGTGATAGCATTTGGAGGATGATGGGGAACAAATGACTGAGGAGGGGATGGACTGAGCTTATCCCTTTTTGATGGTGTTTCTTTTAAAAAACACACAAGCTTAAGTTTTACACAGACACATTAATAAACAATAAAATTCTTTTCTTATTGTTTTCCTGTCTTTTCCTTGTCTTTTTGCTGGCAACAGATTGGCACCAGTTCTCCCCTGGCTCAGGGTTAGCCTGGCCCCGCGTAGCCCTGAAACTGTCGTTTCCATGCCTTTGTGGGGTTTCTCAGCTTTTGGCTCTTTCCACGCCTTCCGCCAGGCACTAAAATAAGTGTTTCAGGCTCCTTAACAGCTCTGCTTTCTCACTTTGAGCGGTCGGAGTAAAAAGGCCAATCACGGGCCGGCTCAAGGCTACTTGGCCAATCCGGGCCCAGAGGAAGGGGGCGGGACTTCAGGGGGAACTGTCAGAAGCTGGAAGGCGAGGGCGATTCGACCCGGCTAACCTGCTAATGGCTACAGCTCAGGGGCGGAGCCTGTGTAGCGAAGGCTAGGACCCATCGCTAACGGGAAGAGGCAGGCTTACAGAATTAAAGGGGAATGAATGCTTCGGCCGAACCAATCCCCGAGCCCTCAGCGGAGGAAGGGACCTCGTACCTTTAAGGTGGAATGAGGCTACGGTTCTTTAAAGGAGAATCGGCCGAGTCGGCCGAGTGTTGCCCAGCGGCACGGGCGGGGTGCTCGGCTGTGCCTTTAATGTCGGCGGGGCGGGAGGCGGGGCGTGGGCGGAGGGCGGAGGGAGTCGGCGCAAGATGGCGGCGGGAGGGGCCCAGGCTGCGGCTCTGGCCGCCGAGTGAGGGGCGGGGGGGCCCGGGGGCGCGCGGCCCGGTAAGCGGGGCCGCGCGGGGTTGGGGGGCGCCTTCCGGGTGGGAGAGGAGGCCGATGTAGCACTTGGGGCGGAGCAGAGGGGGGCGGGGTCCGGTGTGGGCGGGGGTAGGCAAGGGGCGGGGCCGAAAGTGCTATGGGGGCGGGGCTATGGGTACGCTGGGGGCAAAGTAGGTGTGGTTGGTGAGAAAGCCGGGGGGCATGGTCTAGGGGGGGATGAAGAGAATGGTTGCATTTTCTTTTTAGTACAAGGGCAGACCTGCCCCCATCCCCCCCAAAAGGGTGCAAAACACCAAAAAGAAGGATTTTGGAAAGTCAGGCTCTCAAACAAATGGTAAATAGGATGTAATTCTGAGGGGAGGCACCCCACTCCCTGAGAACACCTTATTTCCCCAACGTCCAAAGAAAGAGCACTGGATTTGGAGTCAAGAGATCTGCATTTGCTGGCACTGCCACTTACTGTCTATATGACCTAGGATAATCTCTTAATCTTTCTCATTCTCAGTTTCCTCATCTGTCAAATGGGGTTGCTAGGAATACCTATTTCACAGTGTTGTTGTGGGGAGTTATTCAGATAATGATTTATGTGAACATGTTTGTAAACTGTAAAAGGCTGTGTAATTATCAAATGTTATATTCTTCTCTCTTTTTCTTCCCAGATACCCCCCCGGCCGCCCTCTTCCTTCCCTTGTTCCTGTGGCTGGGGGGGGAACCCCTCCCTCCACGCCATGGAGCCATCTTCTCTGTCTCCCAGTGGGGCAGCACTGCCCCTGCCCCTACCGCTGGCCCAGCCCCCACTGCCAGCGGCTGCCGTGGTACACGTGTCTTTCCCTGAGGTGACCAGTGCCCTCCTGGAGTCCCTTAACCAGCAGCGGCTGCAGGGCCAGCTCTGCGATGTGTCCATCCGAGTGCAGGGCCGAGAGTTCCGGGCTCATCGTGCTGTTCTGGCCGCCTCCTCCCCTTACTTCCACGATCAGGTCCTACTCAAGGGTATGACCTCCATCTCACTGCCCAGTGTCATGGATCCAGGTGCCTTTGAGACTGTCCTGGCCTCCGCTTACACTGGCCGCCTCAGCATGGCTGCTGCTGACATTGTCAACTTCCTCACTGTGGGGTCCGTGCTCCAAATGTGGCACATTGTGGACAAGTGCACTGAGCTCCTCCGTGAAGGCCGGGCCTCAGCCACCACCACGGTTACCACCTCTGCAGCCACCTCAGTCACTATCCCTGGTGCCGGGGGCCCAGCAGGGAGTGGGGGCACTGTGGCCCCTGCCACCATGGGCTCTGTGCGCTCCCATGCCTCCAGTCGAGCAAGTGAGAACCAGTCCCCGAGCAGCAGCAACTACTTCAGCCCCCGGGAGTCCACTGATTTCTCATCTTCCTCCCAAGAGGCATTTGCAGCTTCTGCAGTGGGCACTGGGGAGAGACGAGGAGGTGGCCCTGTATTCCTGGCCCCTGTGGTTGGTAGTGGTGGGGCCACCTCTGGGAAGTTGCTGCTGGAGGCGGATGAGCTGTGCGACGATGGTGGGGATGGCAGGGGGGCGATGGTCCCTGGGGCTGGACTCCGTCGGCCCACCTATGCACCCCCGAGCATCATGCCACAGAAACACTGGGTATATGTAAAGCAGGGTGGAAACTGCCCAGCGCCAGCGCCTCTGGTTCCCCAAGATCCGGATCTGGAGGAGGAGGAGGAGGAGGAAGACCTGGTGTTGACCTGTGAGGATGATGAAGATGAAGAGCTGGGAGGTGGCTCAGGGATCCCAGCAGGGGGAGGGCCTGAGGCTACCCTCAGCATCAGTGATGTCCGGACCCTGACTGAGCCCACAGTCAAGGGGGAGGAGCAGGTCAACTTCTGTGAGTCCTCCAATGACTTTGGACCCTATGAGGGTGGGGGTCCCGGGACAGGGCTGGATGACCCAGGGGGGCCTACCCCCTCTTCCTACACACCCTCCCACCCTCCACGGCCCCTGCTTCCCCTGGACATGCAGGGCAACCAGATCCTGGTGTTCCCATCTTCCTCTTCCTCCTCACAGGCTCCAGGCCAGCCATCAGGGAACCAGGCAGAGCATGGGGCAGTAACCCTGGGGGCCACATCAGCAGGGGGCTTGGGCCTGTCAGGGGGCACTGGCGGTGCTGCTGGGGGAACTGGTGGCGGCGACGGGAATAAGATCTTCCTGTGCCACTGTGGGAAGGCCTTCTCGCACAAGAGCATGCGGGACCGGCATGTGAACATGCACCTCAACCTGCGGCCCTTTGACTGCCCCGTGTGCAACAAGAAGTTCAAGATGAAGCACCACCTGACCGAGCACATGAAGACACACACAGGCCTCAAGCCCTATGAATGCGGTGTCTGCGCCAAGAAGTTCATGTGGCGCGACAGCTTCATGCGCCACCGGGGACACTGTGAGCGCCGGCACCGCCTGGGTGGGGGCGGGCCCGGAGGCGGAGGCGGGGCTGGGCCTGGGCCGCCCACTGGGCCAGCCTTGCTGCCCAAACGAGAGTCCCAAGGGGCAGGTGGTGGTAGCGGCGATGAGACAAGTGGGGCCACGTCCCCGCCGAGCCGAAGGGTCTGGTCCCCAACTAGCGTTCACAAGGTGGAGATGGGCTTCAATGGGGGCGGAGGGGCAAACTGAGGGGGCAGAGCTATTAGGGTTATCTTTCGGGAAAGAGGGAATAGGGAGTACCAGCTACGCGCGCTGTGGCTCTGGGTAATCTCCTACCACACTTAGTCTTCCTTATCTCTGTGGACTTGTATATACTTGGGAAGGGGAATCAAGTTGCACCACCGTCAACCCATTCCACTCCTCAGCCACACCCCATTCCGCAGAAATTATCCCCAGAACTAAGCCCTTCCTTCCCCTCACAGGGGTATACTGAAGCCCTAGCTCCACAGAGTAGGGCGTACATGGGAGGGGGAAGGGGAGGGGGACTGTTGAGCATCCCGGAGTAATAGGATCAAAGGTCAGGTGGTCGTAGTTTGTGCCTGAAGTCTGTGTTTGTGTTGTTGTGGGGACCAGGCCTTCGAGCCCTACCCTTGTCCCAGAACCTATCTCCCGCAGAGATTGTGTCTCTTATTTCTACCCTACCCCTCTTCTTCCTCCCCCCAACCCCCTTAGTGTTCCCCAACTCGGTTCTCAGTGGGGAGGGAGTGGAGACAAGGAGGGAATAAGTCATAGGAGTACAAGGTTTTTATTTTAAATCTTTTTTTTTTTTAATGGTGATTAAAATATTTATGATCATTTCACATGGCTTCCTGACAACCCCTATATATCTTTGCTGGGGACCCGGCACAGGTGGGGGAAAGCGGAGTAATGGCTCCCCCGGAGGTGGATGCTAGGGTACAGGGTTGGGGGAGCTTGGGGCTGCCCTGGAACCCGGCGGTGTTGGGTGGGCCAGGAGGGCGGGCGGGGCGGGACTGGGATGCCGGGACAAGAACTGGATGGGATGTTCCTGGATCGCTGCCTGGCCAGTGGGGGGCGCACCCTCACCCCCCTCACCTAACGGGAGCAGGGAGTTCCCCCGCCCTTCCTGCTGGCCTTTGAAGAAAGCGAAAGTGAAAGGGGGAAGAGGAGGCTTCAGGGCTGAGGAGATCGCAGCGCCATGAAGCTGCTGCCCGTGCTCCTCACTGTGGCTTTCGGTGAGCGAACCCCGCGACTTCTCTGCCAGGAACGGGGGGAGGGGGAGGGAGGTGGTCCTGCTGTGCACTTGGGAGGGGGGAGGGATCACCCGACATCCCACCGACCCCTCACCCGCACCCTCTCCCCCAGGCCTGGCGACTGCCGTCTCGGCAGGACCCACCGTGCTCGAGTGTTGGTTCGTGGAGGATGTAAAAGGCGGCGGCCTGGACAAGAGACCCGCTGCACTAGTGCTGCGCCAGGGCCCGGGGGGACCGCCTCCCCGGCCGGACCTTGACCCCAAGCTCTACCTCAGTGTGCACGGTGAGTCTTCTGGGACTCGCCCCCAAGTCTGCCGCCTCCACTGAAGTCTTCTCCTCTTCACGTCTTGCAGTGACCTCGGGCCTTAGTTCCCCCTCTGTAAAATGAGTCTGGATTACCTCTAAATTCTCACTATCTGGGTAGTCTGTGCGTCTGGAATTACCCAGGCGCTGCCCGCCCCGCCCGTTTCCCGGCAGTAACTACAGTTGCGCCCCCTTCTTCCCACGCAGACCCTGCGGGAGCCCTCCAGGCGGCCTTCAGGCGGTACCCCAGAGATGCCCCCGCGCCACACTGCGAGATGAGCAGCTACGTCCCGCTTCCTGCCTCCGCGAACTGGGCCAGGGGCCTGACTCCGGAGCACAGCTGCCCGCGGGCCCTGGACGGGACTTGGCTCATGGTCAGCATGTCCAGCCCGGTCCTCAGCCTCTCCAGCCTTCTGCAGCCACAGCCGGAGTCTCAGCAGGAGCCTGTTCTCATCACCGTGGCAACAGGTAGCTGGGGAGGGGAGGCGGTGATGGATGGGTAGATTCTCGGATCTAGATCTGTCAGTAACTCGTTGTGTGGACTTGAAGGAGTCATTTCCCCAGTCGGGGCTTGGTTTCATTATTAGGCAGAGCGGCTGGGCTAGAATTAGACAATCTGTCCTGCCTGTTTTAGTCCCATTCAGGTAAAAATGGTTCCACCCAGGTTTGGGACCCGAGCATTCAGACTGGCAAGCTGTGGGGCGGGGCTTTGGAGAGAGGCGGGGTTTCGGGACCGAGGCCCTTCAGGAACGTTCTAGGTGGTGGGGTTGGGAAGGGGTCAGAAGCAGGAACTTTCTCCAGTCCTCCGTGATGTTTGTCTTGCTAGGCACCCCCACTCTTACGGTTCCCCCAGTTTCAAACCCCATCCGCACCCCCACTGGGCGCTTTCGGCAGTCAGCAAAGCAAAGGCTGTTGCACTCAAGTGCGTTTACCTCCTCTACTCTACAGTGCCTTCCCTGCGGTGTGGGGGCAGACTGTCTGTGGTCACCAAGCGGTGGGCTGGAGTGGATGGAAGAAAGGGGCCGGGATGTTACCTCCCAGGGCATGGAGGCCCTCTGGACTCAATGGGTCCTTGTCTTTCTCTTATAAGAATACACAGAGGAGACAAATTTTGTGTTCAGCTAACAGGTTTATTTTACTTATGACAAGTAAAACGAGTCATTAGGCGCTCATCCCTCTTCAAAAGACCAACTCTTAAGGGGGAAGCAAGGCTAGGGCTTATATGGGTTGGTGGGGACAATACAGCAATGAATATTCAGTGGGTTTCTTTGAAGGGGTGGGTACTCCTTGGAATGGTAGTGCATACTAATTAGGTTGCCAGAGCATCTGGAATCCAAGATGGAACCTGCTGATATTCAAGACTGAGTCCGCTCCACAGCTCTCAGCATCACTTCTTATGGGATATGTGCCGTGGAGTAGGCGCACTGATCTTCTATACTACTTCACCCCCTTCGGTGGGCCAAAACAGCGGTCACACGTCTTTCTGCTGCACATGTGGAGCCTGTAAGAAGGAAACGGACTAGAAAAACACTGAGGAAGTAGTGATTCACGGGTTGTTCTAACCTTATTTTATGTTGACAGGTTGTGGTTCCTGTTTATCCAACTTCTAGGTGGTAATCTTTTAACAGCTCTTTTATTCTGCCAGCACAGTTAACCCTATCTGTCTCAGGGATACCCGATGGTTCCCACTTCAAGAACTGCTTATTGTATTGTGCAAAGCAGTTTGAGGCCCACCGGTCAGGCACTTTGCTAGTCTGGGATGACAGGAGGGGATGGGTAGATAATGCAAGAATGGGGACAATGTGACCCCGTCTCCTTCAGTGAACAGTGGGTAGGGTTCTCAGCTTACCTCAGTCTTGTACAGTTTTAAATAAACAACGCAGCCTGACAGTCAGGTCATCCCCAACCGAGCCCCTGCACCTCCCTTCCCCAGTAGCCTCTCTTTGCCATCCTCCTAAGAGGGAATGACCCACAGGACCAGGGAAATCGACTCTGTACCAACCCTGCAGCCCTCACCTCTGCCTACACCTCCATTCTTAGTTCCCAGGCCCCACCCTGGGCAAGAGAACAGCTCAGTCTTGTGGAGGAAATAGCTCCCTCCAGTGGGGAGGAGTATTATTTCCCAGGGGTGGGGCTTCACTGAGGTGGCCTGAGGATGTCCCTTTCTCTCTGAGTCTGTTTATCCACGTGTAAAATGCGGTTACTATTTTCTGTCTTTCTGTGGTTGTGACTGTCAAGGGAGGAGGTGTGTTAATTCACTGATTCAATACATATTAACACCAAAAATAAGCTAGGGACCAGTAGTTCTCAGTCTTGGCTACAAATTAGAATCCTCTAGGAAACTTTTAAAACATACTGAAACCTGGGTCCCACCCACGCCTATTAAATCAGAATTTCTGGGGTGTCCCCCCACCCCTGCACTTTCAAGGATCACAGAGGTGATCAGATGCAGATTCTGTTCTCAACGAGGTTCTCAGCTATTGAGGGAGATGAGATTTGTAATGGATAATTCTAGTGTAACGCAGAAAGCCACTTGTGCCCAGGCCAGAAGATCTACATCTTACAGGCCACTGGGGGTAAAAACAAGTTGGTGAAAACAAGCTGCTGTGCTCTGTCTCTTTCCAGCATTTCTGGATTAAGGATTCAAGGAAATGAAAACTTTGTTGTTTCAATGTAAAATTAAAAGTGGAATCTTTCCATGGTCAGAGATCATTGATAATTTTGCCATATACATTTATACATTATTTCTTAGCAAATTAGTTAACAAAGATTTTTAAATGTTTGTTGGCAAATATCCTTTCTTAGCATACCTTGTGTGTATAGTATTTAATTCTCATCATTCTTTTAAAACATTATTATGGAAAAAATTTCAGATTCCCCAAGGTAGAGAGAATAGTATAATGAACCCTCATATATCCATCACCTACTTGTACAGATATTACATTTTACCAAATTGTTTCATCTAACGTCTTCCAACCTTTTTTTTTTTGCTAGTATGTTTTAAAGTATATCTCAGATACCGTATTATTTTACTCATAATACTTCAGTCAGCATCTCTATTAAATAAGGACTTTTTTTTTTTTTTTTTAACATAACCACAATATCGGTATCATACCTGTTTTAGTTATCTGGAGCCCTGGAGGCACAGTGGTTAAGAGCTACTGCTGCTAAACAAAAGGTTGGCAGTTTGAATCCACCAGCCACTGTTTGGAAACCCTGTCGGGCAGTTCTACTCTGTCCTACAGGGTTGCTGTGAGGTGGAATCGACTGGACAGCAACAGGGTTTGGGTTTTTTTTCGTTATCTAGTGCTGCTATAACAGAAATACCACAAGTGGATGGCTTTAACAAACAGAAATTTGTTCTGTCAGAGTTTAGGAGGCTAGAAGTCTGAAATTATGGTGCTGGCTCTAGGGAAAGGCTCTGTCTGCTGTGAGGAAAGGGCCTCATCAATCTTCCCCTGGGTCTGGGGGGTTCTCAGCACAGGGATCTTGGGTCCAGAGGACACGCTCCACTCCTGGCTCTTCTTCCTTGGTGGTAGTAGGTCTCCCTCTTCTGCTTGTTTCTCTCTCCTTTTATCCCTTGTAAGATAAAAGGTGATGCAGACCACACCCCAGGGAAACTCCTCTTACATGGGATCAAGGCTGTGGCCTGAGTAAGGGTGGTGACTTAAGTAAGGGTGATTCATCCCACCCTAATCCTGCCTCATTAACATAATAAACATAACCTAATCTTCTTTAACATAACCTAATCCTCCCTCATTAAGACAGGATTAGGATTTAACAGCACATCACAAAATGGAGGATAATCACACAATACCAGGAATCATGACCTAGGGAAGTCGATACATATTTTTTGGGAACACAACTCGATCCGTGACAATACCTAACAAAACAAACAATTATCATCTAATTCCTAGCCCATATTAAAATTTTTGATTGTCTCAATGATGTCATTTTACAGTTGATTTGCTCAAATCAGGATCCAGAAGAGGAGAAACCTAGTCATTTGTCCTGTAGTGTCCCACATTCTATATTTGACCAATTGTTTCCTTATGGTGTCATTTACCTTGTTCCTCTTTCCTCCATATTTCCTATAAACTAGTGGTTGGATTTAGAGGCTTGATTAGATTTCGGTTTAAAAACAATTTTTTTTTCAGTAATACTTTATAATAGGTGTTATCATTCACTTTTTTTTACAGACAGAAAAGTAAAAACCTATGTATACAAACTACAAAAGGTGAAACTTTACTGTTCTGGCCCTGTTGTATTTACATTTGTATCTTCACAGAGTACAGTTTATGGGATGCAAGTCTAAAATTGCTTCCAATATCCCATACTATTCCATTAGCTAAAGGGTTGAACTGTAAAACCTTTCAGTTTTGTTTATTAATCCTGTAGACTTTTTTTTTAAATTTTATTTTTTATTGTACTTCAGGTGAAGGCTTACAGAACAAATAGTTTCTCATGAAACAGTAGTACACATATTGTTTTATGACATTGGTTAACAACCCTAC